TGATTGAGAGGGAAAAGAGAAAAGAGTGATTGAGAGGGAGGGAAATTGGGAGAGATTACAGGAATAGCTTCAGGGATGCTGCGTTACACACACACACACACACACACGCACATGTTTATCTGCTTTCCTTTCAGGTGGAAATGTGAATGTGTTGCTGCTTCAAACAGGTTTTAATATTGACGACGTTTTGTGGCCACGGGGCCAGAAGAGAGTCGAGGGTCTGTAAAGTGTTTAGTGTGTAAAGATTATTTATAATGACAGCGAGCACCTTGTATTGTAATATATACGATTATACTATATTATTTTAAATCTGTTTTGTGTGTTTTAAGACTAGTTTTACAGTCATGGAAACACCTGGAAAATGACCAAATATCCTGGAAATAATCTGTGTTGTTCACTCAGATCTACGTATTTTGTTTGAAACCCTACGGTTGGAAGGAGAACCTGCTTCAGATTCCTTTATTATCCGTTCAGTTTGCTTTAGAAATTAATTGTTTGGCACTGGCAAACATCAACACACACTATACAATATATAAGAATATATAACAGTAACAGATACAAATTCTGTGTTACGGTTTTCCACAAGCAGAATTGTCACTAACAGTGGAAAATGTTGTTGTGGATAATAAATAACAAGCATAGTGATGTTAACTGTACGTCCAACAAACACTTTATATTTCTACTTTTATCAGGCAGGAATGTAAAATACAATAAATTCTACTTAACTGTAATTGTTACTGAGGCCAAAGTCATGGTACTGTTAGAGGAAAATAGATTATTATTATTATTATTATTATTACTATTATTATTATTGGGTTCAGACATTTGTCTTACTCAAAAATGTTGCATTTCTTGATTTGTCTTTTTCTGTTTTTAGACCTGTTTAAAGCTCCAGTGTGTCACATTGAGGAGGATCGATTGTCAGAAACTGAATATAATATTCACAAGTATGTTTTCATTAGTGTATAATCACTTGAAAATAAGATTAATTGCTTTTTGTTTCCTTAGAATGAAACGTTTTTATCTACAGAGGGAGCGGGTCAGTGTATATAAACTGTATGTGTGTGTATAGATATCTAATGGAATGATTATAATATAAATATATTAAAAGCCATCATAAAGCTATTTTCTCATGACAACAGGTTTAGAAACCAAACAGTGTAACTCATCCACCAAATATGACATCGTGATGTCAGCCGACCTGCTTCCTTTCTCAAACACACTCTCATTTTTTACATATTTCTCAGGTTCATGTTGTGGTTCAGAGTTCAGGGTCCAGAGTCCACCATGTTTCTACAGCAGCCCAGAACGGACAAACCGAACACTGACTCTAGATAGGACCACTCTTCACGTCCTTCATGGCCACCGTAGTTTCTCCTTCACGCCGAAGGTGAAACCAGGAACTTAGAAGCTACTAAATCCTACACACACCTTTAATAACGTCTTTCCACCTGCTGGAGGTCGAACTCTAATCAGAAGGTTGGCGGTTCGATCCCCGGCTCCTCCCGCTGCATGTCGAGCTGTGTGTGTGTGTGTGTGTGTGTGTGTGTGTGTGTGTGTGTGTGTGTGTGTGAAAAAAAGGCTTTGAGTGGTCAGAAGACCAGAAAGGCGCTGTATAAGTAAAGTTTACCATGAAGAAGTCCTCTGTATGAAACATTTCACATGTAAACACCAGAGCTGGTGCATGAGGAGTTCAGGGTCAGTGCGTTCATTCATCATCCGGCTGGTGGAGACACAGAACGACAGAGAATCTCTGAATGAAAGTAAAGTCATTGTAAAACAAAGCTGAATTTAAAATACGTTTATTATTTAGTCCTTAAAGCAGCAGCCTTCCAACCCGCTGCCCTTTCCTGTCTGTCGTCTCCTGTCCTATCAAAATAAAGGCATTAAACGGCCAAAAATACCTTTAAAAATATATATGTTTAGTATTTCCTGTAATGTTTTGTTTGTATATCAGCCAACGTAGTCATGTTCATGTACATTGCGCTTGCAGTTAGGAGCTAAAATGTGATGGTAAGATAGTGAGCGGAGGTCAGATAAAGCGTTCAAAAACACTGCAGTCATGTGGACCAGGAGGACCTTGTTTCCCTCAAAATGACCTCTAGTTCTTTCACTGTTCAGGAATAAATAATAAGTAATAAATAATCTTCCTATTGGGAATAAACTGTAGTTGAATAGAGTATCTTGACCTCGGTCATAATGGTGATACTGGGAGTGTCTGATAAAAGGCACACACACACACTCAGACCAAACACAATAATCAATGATTTTATTATTTCATCGATATGTCCGAGAGCTCTGAGGGAATGAACAATGAGCTCCTACACACACACACACACACACACACTTTCTCCTTCCTACAGGATGTTATGCTGTGAAATCTGAGTCTGATGAGAGAAAGAAGAGGACGAAGAAAGGGGGAAAAGGTGTGTGTGTGTGCTTCCTGTAGGATGTTATGCTGTGACCTATGAGGATGAACCTGGGGTGAGTGCAGAGGCATCCTGATACTAATAAGATGCCTCCGTTTGATGAGTGTGTGTCTGTGTGTGTGTGTGTGTGTCCGCACTGCTGAAGCATCCTGATAACGAACCAGTTGAAACTCTGGACAATCGGCTCTTCGTGCTCGAGTGGAAGGAAGTACTTCACTGATAGTGTGAGTGTGTGTCTGTGATTATTACTTCCTCATCGGGAAACAAACACCAGATAAAAGACTTGACACTGAAAGAGATGAGATTACATAAAAAGTTACATACAAATACACATAAATTGGAAGCTTTATTTTTTTTTTTTAATTTTTTTTTTTTTTTTTTTTTTTTTTTTAAAAAAAAAAAGGTTTTTTTTAAAAAAGGTTTTTTTTTTTTTTATAAAAGGATTTTTTTTTTTTTTTTGTTTTGGGGAAGGGGGGTTTTTTTTTTTTTTTTGCCCCTAAAGTTTTTTTTTTTTCCTTTTAGAAGAGAGGAAGTAGGAAAATATGTGTCTGTTACTTGATTCCAGCTGTCGGATTTACTTTATTATGAACTAAGTTAGCAAGTTGGGAACATGAACAGGCTGTGAAGTGTGAAGGAGAAACTATGAGAAATGCCTTTTCTATGGCGGACTCCGCCAGAAGAGGAGCCTCTGTAGATAAAAACGTCTCAAACAAAAACACAAAGATTATTATTTTCAGGTGATGAAACACTAAAACATACCTGTGAATATTATCTTTCTGACAATAGATCCTCCTCAATGTGACACACTGGATCTTTAAGAATTGTTTACCTGGTTCTCATTTGTTTAACTTCTTCCTCTCCATTTGTCTCTCCGTCCTCTTCCTCCAGTTCTGTCGGCGTCTCCCCCCGGCAGGAAAAATAAACTTGACCTCTGCATCCTGGCGAGAGGTGACCTCCGCTCCTCAGCAACCCCTAAACACAAACAGTCACCTCTCATTCCTTCCTCTCTCCTTTCTCCTGAAGTTCCCCACTGCTTCATCCTTCCTCTCTTCTTCATCACCTTCAGTGGCAATCATCAGTGAGTTCACTGCCTCTACTGATATCAACGAAATACCTCAACAGCTCCTGAATTCATTTTATTGTTTTATTTATTCATTTATTTTCTTTGCTGGTCTTCTGACTCTTTAGCGCCACCAGCAGGTCAGAATTTTCACTGACAAATATCTCAACATCTACTAGATCAGTTCACTGCTGGTATTGTCTTCTCATTGGAGGGATCGCTCGTACAAAAACATACTATTGCTTGTACGAAGACACATTGTCACTGTACAAAACCAGTTTCATTGGTTGTACAACTTGCTCGAACAGTCTAGCAGCGATCGTGTCTAAAATTCAACTCATTCAGCAACTGCATGGCGTATTTCTGTCTTAAAGTGCTTTCAGAAACACAGAAACTATTCGTAATATGAGACAAAGTTTTCCAAACTAGCCGCCACGCAGAAAGCGTTCGTCCAATCAGGTGTTTGTGCGCGGTTGTAGGAGGGTGGAGCTCTTTGCAGCTGTTGGACTCCTGTGGGCACCATTAGTGTTAGTAACAGATTACGTAAGGTAACTGTAATCCTGAGCTTTTAAAGAGTCACAGAGGAGGAAGGAAAGCTACTGTATGTGGCACAGAGAGAGGAAGAGGAGGGGAAAGGAGGAGGAAGGCTGCTTTTGGGGATGGAGGAGGAGGAGGAAGAGTGCAGCAGCAACAACACATGGTCCCAATTTCACGGTTGTGGACGGAGGAGTGCCGGCGGATGCGGGGGCAGGAACAGGCTGCAATCTGGAGACATTAATACCTCAGTAATAGTCACATTCACTTCCACAACCAGGAAACTACGACTGCTCTGGACCTGTGGACGGACGCACACGTATGTCTGTGTGTACGTGTGTGTGTGTGTGTACGTGTGTGTGTGTGTGTGTGTGTGTGTGTGTGTGTGTATATGTGTGTGTGTGTGTGTGTGTGCTCGCTGAGACAGAGCAGACTATAACAGAGTAGTAAAAGGCAGCAGGGCAGAGCAGGACACCGAGGGCCCGACTTCCTGTGCCTCCTGTTCTTCCTGAGCTCTTAATGAGACCTGTTACAGTAAACCACCACCTCCTCTTTCACTCCATCTCTCCTCCAACCAGCCACCAGACCTCCTCCTCCTCCTCCCTTTCCTCTTTAATACCTCCTGTACAGTTTCATGCACATGCATTGGCAACTGGTAGAATCTGTTTACTGTACTTACATTTTTCCATTTTATCCAACTTTATACTTTATAACCTGGCAGTAGTTGATCTGAAAGTCGTACAAACTGTTCCTTTGAGGGGAGGAATGAAAATCCTTCCCCGAATATGCTCTCATTGTGTACAAAATATGAAACTGTGTTGGGCAAAAAACCTCTGCGGACATTCAAAGTGTCCGACATGAGATCGGCGTCTGTTCGTTGTTTGACTTTTAGTAAACTACTCGCACATAAACACAGAGACACTCAGACAGCCTCGTGGTCTCAGTCAACACTCTCACCTCTGTGTGTTTAACTGCAGCTCCTGGACTCTACCGGAGGCGTTTCATCACTGTCAGCGCCGGTTTGAAAACGTCCTCTGTCAGGCCACACCGGCTGGAGACGCAAGGCTGCTTGAAAAGAGCCACAGACCTGAAGACGTGCTGAAAGAAACCCTTGGTACGTCAATGGACCGCTCACTGGGAGAGAGCAAGGGGAGGACGGAGGGAAGCTAAACACTGAACTGTATGTAAACAGAGACAGAAGTCAGTTGATCACTTTGATAACAGATTTCAGGCTTAAGCAACGACCCAGTTTACTTTATTTTCTGATGCATAAATGTGCACTTGAAGTTGAAATATGTTCAGTCCAAAACACACAACACAACACAAACAGACATGTTCAGGTTTCTCTTTTGGTCATTTTTTAAAACTTAAAATATGAAATTTCTGCCACTAGCGGGTCTTTTACATTAAAACCATAATAATGAAAGAAGTTTGATGAGGTGGTGAAGCAGCTAGTAACGTTTAGAAATGTAACATATTATAGATTTAAAGTTCACTTATTTTTAGAGCTATTTTAGCAGAATTCATATCCCAAAATACCAAATATATACGATACTGGTGTGCCACAAGGCAGTACATTGGGTCATTTTTATTTTCTTTATCTAAATAAAAGTTTCATATACATTCTTAGCCCAAAAAACTACAACAAAAAGTTGCTCAATCATTCAATTGAAATGTCCATTAACAGTAAAAAGTATTGCTAACATTTAGTTTTTTTCACCAATGGAATATGAAGTTTTCTCGTTATAAACTGTTTCTATTCTACATGTGTTAATAGTGGTATTTATACAGTATTTGACAATGTGGAAAAAACATATTTTTTTCCTGATTAAACTCAGTTCGTTACAGTTCTTATCAAACAGATTCAAACAATCCCCCACCACTGCATGTGACACTGGTGTGCCACAGGGCAGTATACTGGGTCCTGTGTAAAAGTAAAGTAAATAACAGATTTTTCATTGTAAAATGTCCATGAGTCAGAATTAATATTTAATTTGACTTATTTTGATAAGTCCCTTTCAGTCATGGGATATATAGAGTTGTGTTTTGATTGTGAATCATCTTTATTAACTTTTCTCTGGAGTTGTGCCAAACCAGTATTATACATGAACAAATATTGACATATGTTAAAAAAACAAACTCACTGGCAGGAAGGAGATCCTTTAAGAAACTTATAACAATAGAAAACTCCATGTGAGAGGGTGTAAAATAACAAAAAGTCACAATAATCCTTTTAAATCACTGTAGTCCTTTAACATGAGGGCATTTTTGCGCAGTGAAGTCGTTTTAACCAGTCATCTCTCCTTCCAGCTGATATTTAGGTTAATAATCAGGATTAGGGTTAGTTTATGTATTACAACCTGATGTTTTAATGCCCTCCACCCACCCCTTGTAAGTCCCACAACCTCTCCCCCACCCCTAAAACCGCACCCGCTCAGATCTCGGTGTGGTGCCGCTGCGTCAGCCGGGGCCCGTATGGCGTCCTGCATACCGTTGGTTCAGACCACAAAACACACACTGCTCAATGGCTGCCCTTTAATCAGACGACCAGCACACACCCACAGAGACCGGGCTCCTGCCTTTAATGATCAAAATAGTCCTGCGAACACTGAGGAGAGGAGAGGAGAGGCTGGCGGTGGAAGAGCAACGTTTTCACTGGTGGTCGAACAGTCTAAACATTTTTTTTATTTTCGTGTGTTTGATCCTGGTGTTTGTTGGTATAATTGAGATCTAAAGTCTGTAATACAGATCAAAGTGTTTCAATATACGACCAACAAACATTCTTAAAACAGACTGATATCATCTGAACACAGGTAGCGAGAGGCAGCTGGTTGATGCGATACGCTCCTGCCGATGGTTTCACACTGTTTCATTGATCTACATGTAGCTTTAATGAGACAGACGAAGCTTATAAACATGGATCAATACCACTGATATTGATCAAATTAACACAGAAAAGGAGAAACACCTTAAAACATTACATTTGTACGACTGTATGGGCGAACAGTGTAAAACTTTACTCATACATGTTAATGTTTTATTGTCTTGTTTTTCTCATACATTTAATCTATTTCTGTCAAACTTGCTGATTTATGTGGATTTTAAGGTTTAATGTCTGTTTTTAAATAAACTCATGCAGCATTATGTTGATTGTAAGATTTAATCTATGTTAATGTGCTGATTTATTTAGATTATAATGTTTTTAAATGTGACAAACAAATAAACTTCAGATTATGCAAAAAAATACATTGAACACTTTAGTTGTCTCCCGACATGGACAACTGTTGTGAAGTTTGCAGATGGCACCACCATCAAAACAACCTGCTGGTCAACGTCAGCAGAAGCGAGGAGCTGATTAACTGACACACAACCCTGTTTACATCTGTGGATGCAGGCGGAGCAGGTCAACAGTTTTATGTTCCCGGAAATCAACATCACAGAGAACCTGTCTTATCTCACACCTCCACCCTGGTTACAAAGCACAGAAACTACTTTATTCCTTAAGAAAACTGAAAGCAAAATCCTTCAATCTGTAAAACCAGAAACGTTCATTTAACTTAAAGAAACAGTTGAAACTGATTACATTAAACTTTTTAAGTAAAACTTACTCAATCGAAGTTAAAAAACATTCTTGATCAAGTAGTTTTAGTAATTTTAATTGAAAATGACTTAATTATGTATTCCTTATTTGTACTGTGAAAACAAAATACTTAGTATTATATAAGTTATTAATCGGGAATGTTTCTGTAACTTACAATCCTAAGTCACTTAAAATCACCAGTAAAAGCTAGAATTGAGTTTGTGCTACTTAAAGATTCAGATATAATCAGTTTCAACTGTCACATTTACTCAAAATTATAGGAAAAGGTTGAAAAATACCTTTTAAATCTTTAGTTGAAACGAGGCTGTGTGCACAGTTTTAATAGATAAACCTCACAGAATTGTACAAATAACGTTTAAAATCATCAGCAATCATCATTAATGTCAGCGTCTCTTTTCCCCCCGGATCCGTTAGCTGAAGGAGGGTCTCTGTGTTCACCGTCCGTCCCCGTTTCAGTACAGTTGGATCTCTGTGGTGCCGACACATCCACAAACAGTGGATGATTTGCAGGTCAAACCTGAACGCCTCGCTGTGTGTGTGGCTTCCACGGTTTCATCTATCCATCTATCCATCTATTTATCTATTTATCTATCTATATATCTATAGAAGCAGAGTGTGGAGGGGAGGAGGAGGGAGCGATGAAGGGAGGAAGACGTCTGGGTCTAATTTACGGCCCTAATAAATCCCCACTCTTTACCCTCTAACCCCTGAACCGGCCGGGCAGCTCCCTAAAATCTTAATCACTCCCCCGCCGGCCCCCTCTGAGTCCCGGTGGGGCGCGAGAGAAAGGAAAGAGGGCGAACAGTGGCCATATTATTCTGCTGTAAAACCAAATGGCGTCCTTGTAATCACCTGACTGCCGCGGCAGCCAGACGAAGCAGTCAGTCAGTTATTCAGTGAGCTGTGTGGCGGGCGGCCCGGCTGGATGACTTATAGAGGCCCTACTAGCACACACACACACACACACACACACACACACACACACACACACACACACACACACACACACGGTCCATTCATGAATTTGTCTCCTATCCAGACTTCAAACGCCAAGAACTGAGCTTTTTATTGTGGACGGAAACAGAAAAGAGACACATTTGTTGTGTAATTCACAAACTGAACAGATTCAGATGCTTTTTATTAAAATATGATACAAAAAGTTATAAAAGACTATAATCCAATCAATCAGCTCTCGTCTTCTCCAGTTAGTACTGAGACATTTCTTTAAATTATTACTGCAAACATTTGAGGCTGTTTCGGGTTTGTTAGCTGTTTCTGTTTTATTGATTTATTTATTCATGTTAATTCATTTTAAGGAGTGAAAGAAGACATATACGCAGTGGGCCACATTTCTTAACGTTTGGTTCCCTTCTGTGAAAATATGTAAAGTAAATTGTCTAATAGAAGAATGTTCAAATGTCAGGGAGAAGAAAACACTGAATCTGTAAAAAAAATAACCCTATTAAGTCTGTTTGATTGTTAAAAATATATAAGAAATACATAAAAGAGACAGAGAATTGTATAAAAAGTTCCCTAAACAGGAAATAATCTGCTCGTTTTACTTTCAAAATAAAGCTTGAGTGGTGCGAAACGGTCGCAGTTTGGATTCGAATTTGGCACAAAAATGACTTTGGTTACTTTACGTATCCTGACGTAACTGAAGCACCTTATGTGAGTTAGTTACGTAGAAGGAACTATTAATGTGAGAGTTTCATGTCATTCGCAGACAGGGGTTATGTTTCCAGATATGTGGTTATTAATGTGTGTTTTTTAAGTCGTAAATCGTCTTGTATTTGCTGTTGTTACTCTGTTGAAAGCCCAGTGAATGAAATGTGCTACACAAATAAAGTTTTAAATCATCAGTGTCTCTGGAGCTCGGAGGGATCCGTCCTGGCCAGATTGTAATATAATGAACTCTCTAAACTTACAGGACGTAAATCTCCAATCTACAATATTCCCACATTACTGTAGGTCAGTGAACGCCCCCTGACTGTCCCTCATAAACTCTCTCTATCTGACTGACAGCAGCACTAACTGACCAGCCGGCCTCCTGGATCCTGCTCGTCTGGTTTGCTGTCAGCTGACTGACTGACTGACTGTTTCCTGGCTGGCCGAGAGGTCGCGTCCGGGTAGATTTATGCCGCCTGGCCCTGGTGATAACTCATCTCAGACGCAGTGAGCTCCCCACGGGGGACCAATAAAACCCGCTCACTGTGTTAACCTGTTTTCCCTGAATTCAGTGAAACTGCTCCGTCGGTCTGCAGAGGTTCTGTTTGTGTTTACGTTTTTTTTATTTTCAGCTCAACAGCACAACAAGCTTCCTCATTCCTGACTGACACCAGTCGTACAAGAGGAAATAACTTAAGTGTAATATACTGTAACAAGGGCTTATTTAGTGTAGTTGACTTAGTATAGACTATCTAAGAATGACTATTTACTACTTTATATGTTGTTCAGAATTAACATTTTGCATCTTTCCTCATCATATAGATTAAAAAAACATATTTACTGTCACAAATTAGTCGTATATAAACACATTTCTACACTGTAAAACCAGATAAGTTAATTTAACTCAAGTAATTGTTGAAATTGAACCTTTTAAGTTAAACAAACTTAATTTTGTAAGTTCAAAAACATTCTTTATCAAGTAGTTTTAGTCATTTTAAGTGACTCCGACTGTCATTTTTATTTGTGCTGTGAAAACAAAATACCTAATAAAATGTACTTAATCAGGAAAGTTTCTTTAAGTTAAGTTGGTGTAACTTACAATGTCCAGTAAAAGCTACTAAATCAAGTCTCTTTTTTAACTTAAAAGGTGAGTTTGTGTTACTTAAAATTCTCGATGTGTTCAGTTTTCAAAACATTTTTTTGTTAAATTAACTTATCTGAGTAAATTAAACAAACATTCTTTATCAAGTGGTTTTAGTTTAACTGACACTGACCTAATTTTGTCAATTTTCTTTGTGCTGTGAAAACAAAATATCTAGTAAAAAGTACTTTCTACTACTCTTACAAGTTTTGTTTGTGTTGCTTAAAATTCTCGATGTAACATTTCAAAGTCAATAAGTCAAGTCAGATTGTATTTATTTATATCGACCAGAATTCAGAAATCATAATGTTCCTCAGGGTCAGTCAACATCTTCTCTAACTTTGTATGAACTGATCTCTGATACTTCGTCACTAAATGTCTCAAATACCATTTAAATATAATAAGTGAAGGTGAAATGAGGAGCAGCCGGTTGGAGGATGCGTTCACTGTCTGAGCTACTTTGTCGCGGTTCGGCAGGCTCGAGTCCTCGACGTTCAAGGACACAAACACAAAGGAGGCGTTTAAAGAGTCTGAGAGACACTCAGTCGTGAGGAAACTGCAGCTGTAAAGACAAAAGAGGAAACCCAGAGGTCTCATAAATCACTTTTTAAAAAACGCAGCACTCACACCCACTTTCAACAACAACACCAGCCACTTCCTTCAAGGCAACCACATGCGCCAAATAACAAGCTCTGAGGAGGATTCTTTGAATATATAAAGAAAAGAGTCGGATGTTTGTCTCGTCTGCCACATTGTCCACGGAGGGCAGAGCGAGGCTCGATGGTTCGAGGTTTGATACCTCCAAGTGTCAGGAGTTTTTTTTAAAAGGGGTATAAATTATTCTGGAGTAGGAAAACGACATGTTTGTGTTTACAGGAAGGTTTGATTCTGTGTATCTCTTCCTGTTGTCTTTCATTACTGTGATGTGCTATGAGAGTATATCAGTGGTTTGTACGGAGCAAAAACAGCTGGAGACCTGTTAACGTTAAGTTTAAATCTGATTGATTTTAACAAACAAAACTAGATTTTAATCGTCGTGAGTCAGGACAGTTAGTTACTGTTGGCAGGGAGTAATAAGTAAAGTAATAATATTACTTTTGAAGAGAGTGAGGAGTAATACATTTATTTTTTTAAGTAATTACCCCAAAAGAATCTTACATAGTGTTGTTTTCCTGTTTATTTATGCTGTTTAATTCTGTGTTTGTACATTGAGAACAATGTAAAACCAGAGTCAAATTCCTTGTATGTTTACACATACTGACCAATGAAAGTGATTCATTGGGTCGGGACCTCCACTAGGGGTCGCCAAGGCTTCATGGGGGGTCGCGAGGTCTTCTTGATATGAAAATGTGTCATTTTTATTCAAATAATATCAAATCGCCCAGCGGCGGCAGGGTGTAATTGTTAAATACAACCCAGAAACATCTCACTCTGGTGATCACATTGAACCTGGTGAGACTTTTGTATGTTATGTCACTCGCCAACACACAAAAGATAGTTTAATATAAATGAAATGTAGGATACATGTGCATTAGTGTTAATGATTTTATAATATTTATTATTATTTTATACCAAAGATTATGTCAAATTGTGGTATTATGGAAATTCTAAGGTTTAGTTTGATTTCATTTAATAATTTAATCCATTTATTGAATTTTATATATTTAAACACGTAATAATCAAACGTCGAAATATTAATACATTTGGCTGAATTATAAAAGTAAGAAATTATAC